TATCACTTCTCTCAGGTGGAGTTGTTACTCTTGACGTGGCTTCTTCACTTGCTCCCTTGGTGCTGATGATTTGGGGACAGGACATCATCTTGCTGACCCCTGACAAGCAGGAGATCGGTACATGAGCTCACGATGTGTTCTGATGTGCTAGCTGAACTTCACGAGTCTGAAAGTAATACCAGGATCACAGTTTCACTGATGTAGGTTTGGAGAAGAAATTGAGGGGTTTGGAGTTGATTTTCCCCACAGTTATTCAAGGCACATTTGTTCTAGAAGTACCTGGACTGGAAGATGAAGTTTTCAGACACTGCAGTTGTTTCCCTTATGACAAGGAGTTTGTTGTGTACCCCAGTTCTGCTTCAGAGGCATGAGCTCAGGCAAGCAGAATGTATTTTGATTATTCCTGTTGCACAGCTGAAGCTGGAAAAGAGTCCACAGAAGCGAGCTTTTTACTATATTTGAGTACATAAGCTCATCTCTGGCTGTTATGATCTCTTCAGCTGGCCATGGCAAAGCTGAACTAAACTTGTGCTGTGCTGTGGATCTCCAGCCAGCATAAAAACCAGCTGTGAGAAGGCTTCAGTCAGCATCCTACTGATTACGTTGAGACTGCATAGCCCATGATGGAGGAGTGTCACCTTTGAACCCATACTTAAATTACAGAATAGCTGACCAGGTCTGTTCTAGCCTGGCCAGGTCCAGGTGTCTCAGGACAGACATATAATACATGTTCTTCTCTCACATCATTCAAGTGCCCCACACCTGTTACAGAGGGGTTGGGGCTCCAGAGACATTACAGCTGAGTCAACTGCCAGAATTGCTTACAAGTCCTTAAAGATGCTGATCAAGTGTTGGAACAGATCTCATGCCTTTTGGTCTGTGAGGGCTTCCACAGGAGCATTCTCCTAAGCCAGCAGAGAGGGTGACTCCAAAGCAGGTGAGTGCATTGTGCTTGCCGAGGGCTTTGGCAAAGACCTGGGTTGTGCAGGAGCTGGCAGCAGTGACTCAGTGCTGCAGTGAGACCTGAGATGTCAGGGTGGTGGTGGGGGAAGCTGAATGAAAGGCTGAGTATTGCAGAGCAGCTTTGGCTAAATGCTGGCCTCATCCTCCTCACCTGCAGTGTGATTGGGTAGAGGAGCAGACCAGGTTTCACTTCTGGACTACAGCCACTACTGCAAACCTTTCCAGCCTAAGCAGTACTTCTGTATCACTTCTTGCCTTCACCATAAAGGTAAGCAAAGCCACTCAAGAAGCAGCTTCCCGAAGCCTGAGGTTATCTAAGTCTATAGGCTTAGATGTTCCAGGAGCAGGGCTCTGATGTGAAGCCAAGCTGAGTGGCCTGTAGGGCACCAGAGTCACCCAGGCTCTTAATGGAATGGCTGGAAGAGGGGCTTGTGATATTGCATCCTGTGTAGCCACAGGTACCTCTAAGGGACCTCATACCAGTTTTGGATAAAATTGGAAGTTAGTTTACTTTTCTCTGTGTCTTAGGAGGAGCCTGTTTTACTGTGTGGACGAATAGCCAGGCTTTAATGACTCCAATCCCTTGGACTCACATCTTTGTGTGTGCCTTCTGAGCCTTCTCCATCCCCATCTTGGGCTCTTTTGTAACTGCTGCCAGTGAGGATGGGTGCACCTGCTCCATCTCCTGGTGAGATGTTTCAGCTGTGGTTTGGTTGTCTCCTGGTGTTCACATCCTTCTAGGTGAAGAGGATGCCGGTGTATGCCCTGTGGGCCTCCTCAGCTGCTTAGACAGTAGGATTTGGGAGATGGTTTGGGAAGTGGTCAGACTTGCCTCTTTAAACTGCGAGGCTGTTATTTCCTCCATACACTGCTTTATACTTCGGGATGTGCTGTAGGAAGGGGGTGACATTGCTCAGAGGATGGTGTGACAGCCACCACCATCCTGGCCACCAGCAGCTGGTGGGAAGGGGAAAAGGCAGAGGCTTGGCCCCGTATGCAACAACTTTGCTCTTGCTGTGGGTTGAGTACAGGGTCTGTAGCCTAGGAGAGCCATGGTACCAGCCCTAGCAAGGGCTGCTGGGACTGGGGGTGCCCTTGCTCTGCTCCCCAAGTCCCATCCACCGCTGCCATGGCCCCCCTGCAGCACACAAGGAGCACGACAGCAGCAGGTGAGCAGCACAGCAAGCCCCAGAGGAGGAACAATCCCAGGCCCAGGCAAACTCCAACTGCCTCTGCCAAACTGGCTGGGGCACAAAGCTGCCAGACACAGCACACCCATCTCTCTACCCCTGCTATATCCTGGGAGCAGAGCCTAAAGCAGCACAAAGCCTTGCTCCCTCCCTCTGTTTCTCTGCTCCAGGCTCCACTTAGCATAAATTATTCAGTGCCAACTGGCTGAAGCCTTGCGGAGGCATGCAGCGGTTGATGAGCTTTCTGTGTCGTGGGAGGTGGGCAGGGATGGGGATGAGCACAGCCGGGGTTTGGCAGAGAGCCAGTGAGCAGCGAGGACAGACCTGGTCTCCTGCCTGTCCCAGCTCCTGGGGCTGCCAGTCTGTTCCTGAGCCAGGAAGGACAGGAGCCACAGGGGGCTGCCAGAACACCAGAGCTGAGCACAGCTTGGCGAGTTTGCAATTCTGCTTTGGGGACCAGCTCTGGGAGCTGGAGAGCTGCTGTGAGGACAGGAAAAGGGGGATGATAATATTGGCAAATACCAACTGCACAGGAAGAGGTAGGGGGAGGACCAGTCCCCAGCTGATAAGACCACTAGGATTTAAGCAGCAGCCTCAACACCATCTATGACATTCACTTGCTGCTGGTCCCAATGCTGTCCATCAAATGGATATCTGTAACCTTGGGCTTTAGGATTATCCTCCTTTTTGTCCCCTGTGAGCAGCACTCAGGCCCTGGGGGCACAGGAGGGGCAAGGGGTGCTGCTGGAATGACACAGGGGCTGTCTACCCTCCTATCCCCTCAGGGACATGAACAGCTCCTGTGCTGACACCTCCCTGCTGCAGGGAGCATGCCATGATCTGGTGCTCCTGGCAGCAGCTGGAGGCCAGGCATTCAGTTCAGGCTGGACACCAGGCATAGCTTATGTTCGCCCCGAGGTCTTACACCGCTCTGGTAAGAGAGGGAAGGGCTTAGGCTTACCTGTTGTTCAGTCCCAGGGCGTGGTCTCCTCCCCTTGGGAAGGACTCTGCAGTGGGTGCTCGGCACCCCAAAACCACACCTGAGAGCCCCAGCAAGCACCAGTTTGAGGCTCTGTGGCTCCTGCATTAGCTGGAGGGATGCTGTCAGAGGAGGTGGTGGAGCCATGCCTGTCCCTGGTCCCCGCAGGGTGAGAGTACTACAGCCACAAGGCCACAACCGGGCAAATGCAGGGAGTCTGGGGATCAAGCATACAAATAAGCAGTATCTTACTCCTTTTGTTTTTTCAACAACCAAGTGAACCACGGCTGTTTAATGGAGGAACACAACCCTCAAACCTAGCACAACTCACCTTCCCTTGGGGAAGCTGCCCTTCTGGAGACACTTTTGCTCTCTCCTTTACAGGGATGCTGTTTTAGCAGTTGGATAAATGCCACATCTAAACACTGCACTGCCTGTTACGTAAGTAACTGTGGCAGAGGTTCAAACCTGATCCCACCTGGCACTGCCTGAGAGCCAACAGGTTCATGGGAGCTGGTGGCGGGGAGGTGACACAAAGCAGCTTGTGCAATGAGGCTGCTTATGAGCACCTGGAACACAGAAGGGATCAGGTTTGCTTCACTCCTGCCTGGGGATCTCACCCTTGGTCACAGTGCTGCATCTCTGTGCTGGCATCCAGTGTGAAATGGCACAGGAGGTGTGCCAAGAGCTGCATCCTCAGGCTGCTTCTGTAACAGTAAACACTGTGGTGTTCAGTGATGCTGGGGCTTTCTTTTTGTTCTTCTGTGGTGTTTCAGACCTGGTTTTAACCAGTTAATATAAATGAGCTAATTTTAGGCCACTGGAGAACAATTTTTGTTCCTGTTTACCTCTTAGGTGTGGCAGGGCAGTAATAGAAACAGGAAAACCAGTCTACAGCACTCAGTGGGTGATAGACACATGGGGATGCCAATTTCAGGCACTGCTCTTAAATCCTAGGGTGCATTTAAGTACTTCTGAGCCCTCCATCTGCTGTCAGTCTTTGTGCCCTCTGTGCTACTCTGGCAGAGACAGATGCCTTGTGTTTACCATAAACATGCTGCTTAACACCAAGTGGCAGTTTCTCTCAGGGGAGCCAGAACACTGCTCACATTTAACACCTCAAAGGCAACCAATACCACCATCATCTAAGCCCAGGAAGCCCTGGCTATGAAATCTGGGGTGTGTCAGAGGTACTGCTCATGCACAGCTTTTTAAAATGCATCTTCAGCTGGCAGCAGCACTACCTTACACTCCCAGTGGCTGCTGTAAACGTGACTCAGCTCAGCCCTGACTCACAAGTGTGAGTTGCACCCACCCACCTGCTGTGCGAGGAGCTGTGTCCACCCGCTTCCCCTCCCATCCAACCCTCCCTACACTGCCTACAGGCAGGAAAACAAACTCCAAACACAAAATCTTGGCTAAAAAACAAGGTTCAGCAGTGCTGCTGATCAGCAGCTGTGTATCAGAAGGGATGCTGCCCTTTGCTCAGCTGGGAGAGGACGGTGGTAAGTAGAAAAAAGCATTTTTCTTTCCACTGCTGCTGGGGCTGCTTGGATTTAATTACAGTAGAAAAATCAGCAAGGAAAGCAGAGATGGAACAGGATGGACCTGTCACAGTCGAAACATAACCAGTGAACCAAGCTAAAAGTCATGAGGAGAAGGCAACCAGTCTTGGTGCAGCTTCTGTTCCTGTAAGAAACCTTGTGGAGTCTGAATTTATGCTAAACTTCTTTAACCATTATTACTACAACCATGTAGAACACAGCACCAAACACTTTGGACAATTTGAATCAGCATAAAAAGGAATGACTGACCTTTGTTTCCAAAACCCCCTTCCTTTAAAAAAACCAAACTGAACAAACAAAAAAGCAGCCATAAAAATGTTTTCTTTTTCTTAAAAGTAATAATTATAATACATTAGAAAGAGTCATGGAAGAAGCGTTCCACGCTGTAAACAAGAATAGCAAATAAAAAGGAAAGCAGACAGTAGCCAGGCTCTCAAAGTGCATGGCCAAGAAACCGTAACCTCAACCTCTGGCCCCTGCTGGAGCTGGGTCCCATGGCTCCTGCTGTCTGTCAGTGCTGCAGCCACTCAAAGTGCTCTATCACAAACAAACAACACAAAGAAAAACAAACTAAACCTAAAAAAACCCAAACCCACAGCACTGATCTTTACCTCTACATGGAAGGCAGTGAGGCCAGCATTGTCTCAGGGCTGCAAGAGCAAGGATGGGTGAGCTGCTTTCCCATGTTTGCTCACAGTAAGAGCAGTTTTTGCTGAGGGGTCGAGACTGTTGCAGGGGGCTGGGCAGGGCTGCAAATGGCTTTGTTAGGTAATTTGTCCTGCTGAGCTGCCACCCTCATCCTTCTCCTTCCCTTCCTATTCCCAGGAAAAGAGCTGAGGCTGGGCCAGGCCTTGCTGCCACAGACCCACCATGGCTGCAGCTTTGTCGGCAGCAAGAGGGGGAGGAAGAGACAGGAGTGGGCATCTCCCTGGGGATCGTGCATTGATGTGTTCCAATGACAGCATCACACCAAGGACAGCAATGCATGTTGCTGGTGGTTCCCCCAGGCCTGAAGATGACTGAGGACCTTGCTGCTCATTCCCATTAGGGCTTGGAGGGAAGGACAACCCCCACCCCTCTCCCTACCAAAATTAATGTTGAACATCATGCACCAAATGCCATGCAATGAGTACTGTTCATTGGACAGCTCTCCACCTTTTCAAATGTTAATACTGCAAAACATCCCAGATACACTGTGTGAGGAGTCTGAGTGCACAAGCAGTATGATGTGCAAAGGCTGTGTGCCTGAAATGAGGGAAGATGGGTTAAAACAAGAGGAAAGAGGTCTCAGCTCTTGCATGTGTGAAGCTCAGCTGCATTAGAAGGAGTCCTATGTGGGCTTCAAGGAGAGGACAGAGCCCCAAGCTACAGAAGCAAAGTCAAGATGTGACCAACAGCTCTCAGATGCTTGTTGTTGCTTCCCAGTGAGCTCTTGTGGCCAGTGGGCTGCTAGCAAAAGGCAATGGATATCTGTCCTGAAATACTGCTCAGGTATTTTAACACACAAATAACATTTAACTATGCACAATTATGGAAAAACATACTCAAAATTAAAAACAATTCAAGCACCATTGTCCTAGAAAGGACCTGTGGTGTCTCAAAACACAAGTACTGAAATTCAAAGAGCACTTTTCCTCAAACAGCAATGCTTGACTCCTCACAACACCCCTGCGAGGTAGCTAAAAGGGTTATCCCTGCTCTGCAGAGGGAGAGGATGGGCAAGGTTGGAGGCTCAGTGGAAGATGGGGCCTAGGACAGAGCTGGGGTTCCAATGAAAGCTGAGGGTGCTGTGGTCTGGCTGGCTACATCCAAAAAATCCAGTGCTCCCTTTGACACTCCCTGCTGCAAACATAAACCACCACACATACACAAGGCAAAATAAACCCTGATAAATCATAGAACCATAGAATATGCTGAGCTGGAGGGGATACCCCAGGATCATCAAGTCCTGCTCCTGGAACCAACAAAGTAATTTAGTGGAAGTTTTCTGCTGGGCTTTCAGGTAGGCTTTAGATCAGGTTATGCAATTGAAGCAGCCTATGAGATAAAAAAAAATAGTTTCCCAAGTCTCCTTAGAACTTAAAGGAGCTTTTGCTGAGGATCTCTGTTGAAGGAATGGGAATCCCTCTTGCAGTCCCACCTAAGGTGGCACTTGCAGCTACCCCTTCTGGACAGGAAAGTCAAATCCAGCATATCTGGACTACTTCCTGCTTTTTCACTGATCTGGCTTCCTGATGAAGTCCCTTCACCTCTAGGGGTGAAGTAGATGCTGTAACCAGAATTTTGGACCAGCTCTTTCTGTGGGTGTCTCCCCAGATCCCTGCACATCTCCAGCCAATGGCCTGGGCAGTGCAGAACCTTGGGATGGGGAGGAGATGGACAGACCTCTTGGACTTGGTGCATGAAGGGCAAGCGGGCACCTATCATGTCCAAGTTTCCTTCCTGTTGTTAATTCTCTGTGGGCTCAACCACAAGGGCTAAGATCAGGTTCTGGGCAATGTGCTCCCCCTTCCCCAATTCTTATCTCCTTTCCACTCTTGACGCTTAACTTATTCAAAGCAAAAGTGGACTTATCTGGGGCACTGTGATTAGATGCCATCACACATCCAGCAGCTTGGTAGTGCAGGCAGGTTTCCTGAGCCAGCAGCCCTTTTCCTGTTTGGGGAACAGAAAGGCAGCAAGCCTGCTCGCTGCACTGGCCCTGGGAAGGAATGGCCAGCAGAGAGGGCACTCAGCCCAGGAGACCAGGCTCCACCTTCATCACTGTCCTTGCCACCCTGAGAACCTGGGCTGGCAGCCCCCCACCAGGGTGACACCAAGGAGATGCCCAAGGGACTCAGCGGCTGTTAAATCTGAACTCCTAAACACCATCCACCATGGCAGTAGGAGCCAGATACAGCTGGGCACTGCTTTGTGGAATTGCATAGAGGGGGCAGCGGTTGCTGGTGTCCTGCCAGGATGCCATGGCACTGCCTGGAAATTCTGCTGCCTACAACTGCAGGTCTGGGAAATAAGATCTATTGCTACAAAGGCCTTTGAAAGCAATGGTGTAGCTGTGCCAATGGGGTATTGTAAAGAAAGCATTTCGGATTCTGACACCTTGTCCTGCTTGCTTGGTTGTGGGCTCCCACAGCAGAGAGGAGCAGGAGAAAACACACAACAAACTCATCAGACTTGCCTCTTTCCCCAAGTGATGAGACTTGGGGAGTTTTGAGGAACAAAAAATGAAAGCATTTTCCAATTTGTCCATAGGAAACACGCCAATCCAATCTGCTGGTGTCTCCTAGTGCTGGTGGCCACCGCTTCGTCTCCTCGCTGGGCGCTCGTACCAAAGCACAGCTTGACATGCAATGGTGCTGTGCTGTCACCCCAACAGCCCTGCTTGACAGAAGGGGATCCTGTAAATGGGGCAAGGGTCCTTCTCCAGAACCCACTTCTTCTCCCTTAACTTCCCCTTCCTCAGCCCCACTAGAATGTCACCGATTTGGGCAGCTTTGCAAAGGAAGGAGAGCCTGAAAGGAAACTGTTCTCTGAGCGGGATTTGGCAACCTGTGGCACAAATTTTGGTTTGGGGCTCAGCGGGGGTCGTGGGGCTTTCAGTGCATTTGATGGTTTCTGGAGGCTTTTCTGGACCTCTTCCTCCTCTGGGTCTGGCGTAAGAGGTGGTGGCATGGAGGTGGCAGGCAGAGGATGTCCAGTCTCTGACAGGGGCAATGCCACCTGCTTTCTGTTCAAGAAGTCCTGCTCTGTCGCATGGGCCAGGTGGAGGGGAGTGGTGGTTTTGATAACGACATAGGGGCTGTTCCCTTCCCCCAGAGGGGACGGTGCCCGCTGGGCGGGGCAGCCCTCTGCCAGCCCTGCTGCCTCCGGCTCTCTGCTGGACAAGGTGGGCACACTGCCCCCCGCCTGCCTGTGCACAGGCAGCGCCCCCACGGCCTCGGGCCAATGCGTGGTGCCGGTGGCACTGCCCAGCCCGTTGTGCCGCAGGCTGAGGAGCTCTCCTGTGGATGCAGCTTTGGATGCCGAGTGCTTCAGGCCCATTTTGTCCGGCAGCACCGCCCTGCAGTGCCTGTCATCCGCCACCTCCTCCCCGTGCTCGCTCTCAGGGGAGCCATCACTCTGTGATGTGCAGGAGAGCCGCCGGCGGCCGGCTGGCAGAGGTTGGGTGGCTGCTTCGAGCACTGTGTCTCTGCTCAGGGAAGATGCCTGTTCTCCTGCTGGCAGGGCAGAGGCATTTGGCTGCCACACTGTCTGGTTCATAGCAGAAAGCTCAGTGGTGCTGGAGTCGGGAGGAGCCAGCCTCTTTTGGAGAGAGGAGTCTAAGGAGCTGTGCTCAGCTGAAGCATGGAGGGAGACTCCATGGTCCACCACGGCACAGCCAGGAGCAAGGAGAGGCTGCTCTGGAGGCAGGATTGTGGGCAGGAGGTGTTGCTGGGCCTGTGTCTCGCTTGCCTTCAGAAGAGATGATGGCTGGCTATCCACAATGGGCTCCACCTGACCCTCCTCGTCCAGTGGCTGCCCACCCGAAACAGGCACGTTTGTTGCTTCAGCTGCTTCACTACCCTGGAAGGTGAGAATCCTCGCTTCCACCACTGTCATTCCTCCTGGTGTGCCAGGAACTCTGTGGGGATGGGACTCCCTGTCTGGAGTGTGCTCACCCACCTGGCCATTCTGGCCATTGGCCGCTGTGTTTTCCTTTATGGCTACTGGGTTGAGGGAGAGCTCCAGGCCCAGGGGTTTCCTTGGAAACTCCTCAGGCTTTGCTGCATTGGAAGCAGAGAAAACAAAATAAAACCCAAACTGTGCATCAGTTTATGTTTGCAAGCTCTGAATGTGAGGAAGACGAATGCTTCCACACAACAGGTGCTAGCCGCTCTGGGCTGCCATGGCTCCCCAGCCATGCCAGTGGGATGCTCTGGTCCCTGCTGGGCTGCCCACCTTCCCCTCTACCCACCTGGTGGGGGCAGGTCAAACTTCATCTTGCGCAGTTCAGTCATTGACACCTGCAGCTGCTCGATGACAGCATCGTCCTCGTACTGCAGAGAAGCAGCAATTTTCTCCTGCAGAAATTCACGTAAATCTTCCAGTGTCATCTTCAGCAAGCGCTCTGGGGGATGGGAGAAAGGAGTAATGGCAGTGGCACAGACAAATTTCAGGGTAGCACAAGCATGGGTTACACCACGCTTTGGTTTTCTCTGGGATTCTGTTGCTGCTCCCACTCCACAGTGGGACATCTGAATGCTTTTGCCTCTCTCCCACCTTCCCACTATTGCTCAGGGTCATCAATATGCGTATATATACCCATGCCCCCTGAGCAGTTGCTTCTCAGTGGCAGGACCATGGCAGGGCTGGGAGCTGTGCTGATGAGGATGCAGGGTTTAGGCCATTTCTAGAAGTTCTCACCATTGCCTCTAGGAGGAGGAAAAGCTCCATGAGACAGGCCCTAAGCATCAGGCTGAACGGCCACTGCCGGCAGCTGCCACCACCAGCCAGGGATGCCAACCTGCACCAGCAGGCAGAGGGATGCAGGAAGAAGTGCTGGCCTTTAAAGAGGTGATAGACAGGGGTGGGATACAGGCAGAAATAGGTTGTAGGAAGAGATGTCAACCCGCACTACACATTCCTCAGGGAGGTAAGATTTCACAGCCAAACTGAAACATCTGCCTGCCAGTTTCTCATTTTCTACAGACAAATAGGAAACTTCAAGATTTATTTCTGGAGAGCCTGTTCTTCATTTAACATAAGGAAGAACAGGGTGGCTGTTTGCAGAAGCCAACACTTGCAGTCTCATAAATTTTGCTGCCCAAAGGTTCTCATCACACACTCCTGCCCAGATGAAGGCCAAAAGATTGACACAGCAAGGTTATCAATTTATGGGAGTAAAGGGGTTCAAAGTTGCAAAGATCTTGAGGCAGAAACATCACTGCCTTAGTGTTATGCAAGACAACCAGGTTTTGATAATTTTAGAAGTGTATTAGTGGATTTACTTGTCCCTCTACAGACTTTTCAGTTGAGTCACCACATAAAGTTCTGCAGACAGATGGGCTGCTGTCTGTATTGCCTCTAAAGGCAAAGGAAGAGGCAGCTGGGAGCATTTCAGGTGTGGTTTCTGTGTGCTGAGCACACAGCAAGTTCAACCCTTGTGGCATCTCATTTCCTGCCCTGGACTGTGCCTTTTGTGGCCAGTGCAGGGCACCAAGAGGCTGGAAGTGGCCAGCAAGGCTTTTCAGGTCAGCAGGACAAGGGTGGCACAGCATGGTGCCACCAGAGCCATAGGTGATGCAGTCAGGTGGGACCTTACTTTTGTGCAGTTTGAGGATGGTGTAAGCCATGGCTGTCAGCACCCGCTCCCCTTCCAGGATGTAGATATCCCACAGCCGCAAGGTCAGCGTGAATGGGGTCTGTTTCAAACACACAGACAAATCACAAAGGGGATGATGCAACAGAGGCTGCTGCCATCTCTGCATCACCTTGCATCAAATCACACAACAGGCTTTGCAAGAATTCATCTAAAACACAAAAATGTCTTTTATCATCTATGGCTTTGCCTTAAAGCTAATGAACTTGGGTGGCCGGGGAAATATTTAAAATCCATCCATGAATGCAGAAAAAAGAAAAACTTCCCTCACATGCTAGCATGTGGATTCCCTTACCCTGGAGAGAGAGCCATCATCTTTCAGCCTTGTGAGCACAAATTCCTGTATCCATCTAGATTTCCCACAAGGGCTATTTATGGGATAGGTCTGAAAGCCCAATGACGCATCACTAAACATTAAAAAATTCATATGGTGTCCAAAGAAGAGTTTTTTTCTTATATACAGGCTTATTTCTGCCTGCTAAAAACACCTCTGCAAAAGGTTTTCATTTGCACCCCAACTCAATCTGACAAACAGGACTGAACTGATAACCAAAGTGATGGAGCAGCCCATACCTCCCAGCAAAGATCTAAGGCACCTCACCAACACTGAAATTAATATTAATCCTACTGAGATATTTAGGTTCAAATTTAGGATACTGCACTGACTCTCCAGAGTTTGGCACAACTCACCACTGCAGCCCTTTTACCACACATTACTGCAATTAAGGGATTTTGCATTTTATACAGCTTTGAGTGGCAAAAGCAGTGAGTTTCCTCTCAATGGGAAGGGACCATCCACTGTTTTATAGAAGACAGGGCACACAGATGAGACTGGAGCACACAGATGTTCTAAGTATTAGCAAGTCTGGACATTGCATTCAAGTCCAGTAAGCACAATACTGACCCTAAAAATGAAGTAGTTTTGGCCCAGGACTAGCAAATTAGCTCTGGACAAATCAGGGTAATATTCTCACACTTCCACATGTTTCTAGTCCCAATCCACTCCTTTGCCTGCAGCTGCTGCACTGCTATTTGTTGAGGTTTATGCCCCCAGCTCTTCTTCTTTCTAAGTTGTCTCCAGAGCCAAAGTGAGGTTAATTGCCTTTGCAGCAGTGCCAGTAGGCAAGAGAAAGATCTCTCCTGACTCTGAAGTTTATACTGCTGATGCTGAGCCATCTCCCCACGACAGCTTGTTATGAGGCAGCAGGAACTGGCTTGTCATCAGTGACATGCAGTTATTTTTATCTTCTCCCTTTTTGTTTTTTTTGCTTTATGAGAGTGTGCATAATATCCCACCTTATAAAATATTAACATCTTCTTCAAAGTATGATATTTACAAAAAAAAAACGACAGGCAGATTAACCATGCATGCAAATAAGAGAGCAGCAAAAAAAACCCAGAGCATCCTCACCCGGTCAATGAAACACTGCAGGAACCACTTGGTTGTGTAAATCCCGGTGGTCATCTGCTCCTTGTCCTGGGGGAAGACAGGAAAGAGAGACAGGCATTTCACCAGGCTGGTTACTGCAGGTTCAAGCAGCTCATAAGGCTTTGGGGGAGGTTATTTGGTTGGTTTACTTTTTCTGGGATCTGGGTGCAGGATGTAGCTGTGGTTCATCTCCCAGCAAACCCCTCCTTTGCACACCAGTGCTGAAGCCCTGCTTTGGTTCTTTGCCTAAGACATCCATTGAACCTGGTCCTCGATGTAGCCAGATTTCAGCCATAGTACTGGAAAGGGATTTCTGGGAGAAGCTTTTCTGGCCCAATACCTACTCCAGGGATTTATAGAAACCTTCCAGGAGCTCAAACTACTCACTCCTTGCAGAGTACCATTTTTGTTTCCATAGCAATTCCCATGTGAGACTCTTGGAGCACAGTCAAAGCAGCTTTGGAAGCATCACCTCATTTACATGACATGGCTGCGGCAGAAGCAGGACAGCCTGACAGGCTAAGGAAAACTCTTAAAAACCTCACCATCACCACTTCAGTCTAACACTTCTCCATCTGGTGCCCAGTGCTGGGATGTATGCAGAGCTGACATGACCTCTGCTGCAAAGCCAACAAAGCAGTGGGGATGGGAAGAGAAATAAGCCCATAGGATGAATGGCCAGCTCCAGTCTTTGCTTCTGGCTGATGCTGTGCACCTGCAAGCCTGGAGAGCCTTCAGGAGCAGGAAGAAGGAGCAGCTTTCTGAGTTATTCCCATCACATGACTATAATTAAGTGAAAACCTAATATGACTCTGTTTCACTTTTACAGCCATTTGCAGCACGAAGCAAGAGCTGTTGCAGATGGCAATACAAGCACCTTTTGCTGGAAATGGGGGCCACCAAGCCTCTTGGGAGCATAAGAAAAAACTTTAGGAGTCTGCTCAGTGAACACCAGCTGTCTACACCAAATGCAAAGGGGGGCCAAGGCCAAAGAAAAAAGGGAGAGAGCAGGTGCTGCAAAACGGGGGCCTAGACATAGGACTGGAGTTGGTGTGCCCTGCAGATGCTCCTGCAGCCACCAAATGGGCCATCTGCTAGAGAGAAAAGCAACTGGACATGCCCACACCCAGTAAATCTTATGTGCCTCCTGACTTAAAACAACAGCTAACACTTGGAGCTAATAATTACTGGAATAAGACTCCAGACAGACCAGCATCAGCCTTTGGGCCTTGCAGCTGGTGTAAGCACACAGTCCAGCCACACTGCTGCTCCTCCTGCTGCAGACTCTGTAAGTCTTCCTGGCTCTCCTGGGAAGCGTTTACATTTTAGCGGTCCCTCCACTAATGATGATCAGCAAGCAAATGATTACCATTCACCTTAGCAAGATTTGGGCAACCCATTTAATAAATGCCTGCCTCTGCAGCTGAAGCAGTCCTATATGGTTAGAAATACGTTCAGCTGTGCATCTATTTGGCAGAACACTATATGAACTGCTTTATCATTAAAATGTGGCATTATTGTAGGAAGACTGACTGTAGAGATACCATGTGCTTCTTCAGTTTTGGGAACAGTTTGTTTAAAATTTGCTCGTGGTGGGCTTGAAACCTCTGCAGCTTCGGGAACCCAGGAATGAAAAAACCTTAACAAGAAAAGACAAGAGAAATTTAAAAAAAATCAGGTAAGCTCTGCAGCAGTGACAGGGATAGTCTGATTATCTATAAACTCGTCTCTCATCTCTTGCATCATCTGTTGAAGTTGGCTGAACAACAGGTTGCCCCGCTACCTCCTCTTCACCCCCCTTTCCAGAGTCACTCCTCACCCCATCTGGGCAACAGGACCCTCAGACCAAGCCCAGCTGGTCCTTCTCACCCAGCTCCCACTGCCTGCCTGCAACTTGGCTTGGCCAAGAGCTCTCCAAACACACCTCACTGCTTACCAAGGTTCAGAGAAAAGCTGAAGATGTTTGAACACCACAAGCTTGTTCAGTGCCCTGCAATCTAGTGGGACACATATTTAAGACTGTCCCAAGTTATCAGCCATAAGGTTTAGCTCTCTGCCCATGAAATAACCCTCTGTGCATAGATTACTGCTAACCACAAGTAAGATGAAAGGACCTCTAACGTGTTTGAAGTAAAATAATGCATCATGCGTTTAGTGGAATTACATCTACATTTAGTGTGGATACTCTAGGATGTACTTCTGTGAGACTTCTTATAAACTCATAACCTTGAGTTAATTGATTGCCAAGGGCAAGGAACCCTGAAGGGAGGACAGCACTTCTGTGAAAGTGTTAATTACCTGAGCACTAAAGCTCAGGTGGATAAAACTCATTTTTCGATAAGAGCTTGTCTGCCTCAAAGAGTGAAGTTCAGTTCCCCTGCGCAGTTCAGTCAGGCTGTGCAAGTAGTTAAGCCTCATGCACTTCAATTCAACAAATATGTGACGAGAAACAAAGCTCTACTGATCAACCTGAAGAGTCTCCCCTTCCTCTGGCAGACACCCCCTGCCCCCAGCCCAGCCTTACCGTGCATGGCGTGGCGCTGGTTGGTGAGCAGCTGTGCCAGCGCCCAGAACGCATCCTCTTCATTCAAGTACATCAGGAGGATGGCTGCGATCTGGCTCATCCCTTGGCAGTAGCTCACTTCCTGCAACAGTCAAGAGGGGCACACGTGCTGCCATGCTGGCAGAGCCTACCATAATGCTAAAGCTGCCTGTACTTCTCTCTCCTCTTCCAAGGTCTATCCCATTTCAAAGTCTTTACCGTTTATGATCAAATTCACAGCTCCCATATGCCTACAGCACCTACCACATATCACTGACTCATGGAGTAGTTTGGGTTGGAAAAGGACCCTTGAAGATTATCTCGCCCAAACCTCCTGCCACGGACAGGGACAGCTTCCACCAGACCAGGTTGCTCAAAGCCCCATCCAAACAGACTTTGAATACTTCAAGGATAGGGCATCCACAACTTCTCTGAGCAATTATTTCCATGCCTCACCATTGTAAAAAATGTCTTTGTTACGGCCAATCTATCTTTGGGATGACAAACAGCATGTGGCTCCAATGCTGTTTTGGATTCCTTCAGCCATATGAGCACTGAAGTAATTAAACAGTAAATAAATCTGGTAAACATTTGTCTGGCATTTTTAAGGAGGGAGGCTCCTTAACTAACCCCCTGAGCATATTCTAACTGTCCCCTCCTAGAGGTGGAGACAGTAGGTTCAGCTGCTAATTTCAGCTTATTCTGCCTGCATCCTTCAGCTAAAAATTGCTGGTTTGCTGTAGTAAATAAGTGTTTTCAACAAGGATACCATTTGGTGTTAAGACAAGAAGTCAGAAACATGACAGACTGACAGAAAACTAGTGTTGCTGAAAAGCCAAAGGGCAATCCCTTGTTCTTTGCTGACACTTGCCCAAACTAAATCTGCCAGATGTCATTTACCAGGTGACAAAATTAACAAGGAAATGAAACAACTGTGGAAAGATTCTTGTGCTGCCCGGGAGTCTTGCAGCTCTCTGTACAACCCACTATTAGGACTTTAAAATTGGAATTACCACTGGCTAAATAAGTGTGTGTTTACCACATATACATACACATGAAAATACATATGTCTACACAAATATACACACTTATAAAGCTTTTCTTTTAAATAGATATAAATATATAAAGCACAACGCTCTTCATGTTAACTGGACTTACTACTTACAGTGTTATAAACCGAGTATGCTGACAGGACGTGGAAGAGTGCCTGTTGCCTGGGAAGACAGAAGAATATTAAAACACCTGAGCATGAGGTCTCCAGCTTCATCAACACACCAGTGCATACACACAGAGAGCAAATATTCTGAAAACACCCAACTAGCTAGTACATAATACTTTTTCAAGGAACAGGGCTCACAGAACTGGAAAGCTCGTTCCTTGGAGACTGTGTAGGGCAGCCAGGTGTGACTTATCCCAGTGACAAAGTCATTTCATCAAACCTCTCCAACCCCATCTGTCATGAAGACCCCATCCCTCCCCCATCCTGATGGGCTCACTCCATCATCCCAGCCATCCCAAACCAAGCCTTTTGCAACTGTGAGCCTTGGGGGACAAGGCACTGCAACAGGCTGTTGCTTGGCTCAAGAACTGGGGCTGAGCCTGCTCCAGTGTGGACCTCTCTGAAGAAAGAATCAGCAGCCCAGCACCTGTGGGTCACACTGTGTGGTGATGGTTTGAGGAGAAGACAAAGATGGCTTTTCTCTGAGCCAGGGGGCTGCTGGCTGCTGATCCAGCTCATCCCTCACAAATGCACTGGTAGGACTGCCCATATAAGCCACAGAAGCCTTCCATACTCACTTCACTCCGTAGCGATCCCGAAACATGATGTGGTTTCGGAAAGTGCGGTTAACATCCAAATCTATCTGCTTGATTTCTGATGAAAAACTCTTTGCTTGTTCTTTCATTTGCTGGAAAGGAGAGGGGCAGACAAGAGGCAGGAATCAGACACCATCTCAGCCTGTACCTCTCTCCACACAGGGAGAAGAAGGCAGGATTCCTGCAGCAGGAGTAGCAGCTTGAGAGCAGCACAGAGCTATCCAGAGCAGGGCACACTGATGTCCTCCAGTGAGCAATGAACTGCAGCCTGGAGGTGAGCCCCTGACCCCTTGTCTGTGTCACTGGCCCAGGGAGAAGGGGATGACCCCACACTCACATCCTAAGACAGCAGCAGCTGCCAACACAGCCTTCACCCATCTTCCAATGCAGATACTGAGTTTTCAGAATCTAAAACCTTTACAATTCAATTCCTCTCTCATTTATTTTGATTTCTCTGCCTGGCTGGCTGCCTTAAGGATTTGCTGATCCTTAAGGAACCAATAGACAAATGTACGCAGCACTCTTGGCTTTTCAGAGGCTCAACCATAATAAAGTCCAAACTGTTATGACAGACTCTGTGATCTCCAACTACTACTTTCCCTGAAGAAGACAGTCATCTTCAGTTTAAGGAGTTTCCACCAGAAACACCAGGTACAAATTTTAAGAAACTGGCAGAGTCCAGAACAGAAGCTAAACTTAAAGCCAAGAATCCCCATGTTCCCCCCAGGCCAGCTAATCATTTAAGGCAGCATCACACAGAAAAAGGACTGAAGTCCACTGCAAAAAAATGAAAATTCAAATGAAAGTTTAAGACCATTTCAACCAATTGTGCCCTTGGAGCCCCAAGATGAAGATGCTCCATGGACAAATCTCACAGCAGTCCCATCTGCAACCATGTTCAGCTCTGTACTGCAGGCAAGGACCACTATGCTATAGCTAAGCATCTCATTTCACAGCCTTTAGATGCCACCAGTGATCATACCCTCCTCTAATGTCTCCAGAGTTAACTGCATGAAGAAAATACATTTTGTGACTGTCTTCAGGCACACCGAGATTCACCAGGAGGTTGGAGGCAGCAGAGATGAACAGCAGGCCCAATTTGCCTTGAGCCCAGGGTCAGGACCCCTCCCAGCTCACAGAGGAGACAGAAAATAGAACATCTGCACAGATACTTATAATCTGCTCCAGCAGCTGCCATCCTATGAATGCTTATCAGCCTGTCACCAGGTGCCTCCAGGCTGCTGTTGACCTCCCAAGGCGGCCACATCAGCTCTGGGGAACATCAGAAGGTCATTAGCACCCACATGTGTCCAGCACAGCCAACACTTAGGATGATCACAGCATCTTGGGAATATTAACTGCAACCATGAAAGAAGCCATATGGAGGAGCAATAGTTTAGCGGCTATTTTGAATTATTGCCTACACAGGACAAGTGAGGATAAAAGTGGTGATGGCATGAGGATCCAATGAACAACGTAATTTCTCTGCTGTAAATACTGTGGTGTCTGTATCCTATGGCTCCTTGCCCTCTACAAAGCAGACAGACTACCTGAGAGAATATGACTATTCATGTGCACTGGGTCACTTCAGTTCAAATTCTCCTGTTAAAGGCTCTCTTGTTTTCCCTGCCAGAACAACACAGAAATCTCCCAAAGACTGTAAATACCCTACTTTGGGTATTTTTAAATCATTGCACATGAATAGCAGGTAGGTCACACAGGACTTTGTCACCTCCATGCACCCAGCAGCCTTTACTAATTGTGCAGACAATAAAAAAGAAACACAGGATGGGTTATTCTCCTTTTTTTCCCTTATGTAAATAACATAGGAGCTCCACAGATGCTGTCAAGCTCATTAGCACTGTGAGTCCTGCAAGCTGGTGGCAAAACAGAGGCTGGAGAGCTGGAAGTCCCATCCCAAAGACAAAGCAGTGGGTAAAAGCCAGGATGCCTCTGCTCTGCCCCACGGCCAATATGTTTCTCCTGCTGCCTTTTAAAGCTCCCTTCAAGCCCTCTGGCTGCAGCTAATAAACCCCGGGGAGGCAGAGCATCATACCTACATGAAAAGCAAGCATAGAATGTCCCATGGTAGCCTTCAGGCTTTTGTACCATAGGTTATGCCCCAGGGAGAAATGGGGTGGCCTTGGAACCAGTTCCTTCAGGACACAAGTCTGAGGCTTAGTTCCTTCTTGAAAGCAAAACCCCTCATCCAGGACCTGCACTGCGCCTCTCCTGGAGGAAATTAGAGGAAAGCTAATTACTGGTGGCAGGCAGCACCAAAGAAGAGGTAGATTAAGATGATCTTGTAGAGGGTTTGCATCCAGCAAAGCCTATTAGCCCTGAAGCTCATGTTTATCACAGACCCCTCTGGAGCACAGATAAACTCCTTGCAACTTTCATTTGTTTGGATTGCTTCCCTGCCTGTGCAGCATAGCTTTGAGGGAGGGAGCACAATTTTAATCTGCATGTTGGGAGAGCTTCCTTATCTGTGCTTACTGTGGTGAGCCCAGCCTGCCTTCCCCCAGCCCTTGTGTGTGCCTCCAGCCCTGTGGCAACTTGCCAGTAACATCCACGCTTGACTAACTATAATGAGTGTTAGCATCATCCTGCTTAGTAGGCAGGGATTTTTAGAAACACCTGTTGGAAGTAGCACTCAGCCTCCTGCCTCTGAAAAATAATTGTCTCCACAACACCTTGATCCTCACCCTGGTACATGATGCTTGGAAAATAAGTTAATTATCCACTAAGGGCTTCCACACCCTGCCTATGGAAAGCTTTCCCTCACTCTTCCCTGCATCTTTCTCTAAAGCTGCAGTAACACTGACAGCAGCTTTGCTCTCAACTTCCAGCAGAATAAATGGAAGCAGGATATTATAGAAAGCAGCCAATTAACATGCTAAAAGACCCCAGCTTAATATAAACCCATGGACAAAGACTTGATACCCTTTGCATTTTCAGTCCTCATCAACCAATCTCCCTATCATCCTTCTCCTGCTGTCTTTGCCAGGTGGAGCCCCTACCTCATATTTTCCTTCATTCTCCTTCTTCATCTTCTCAACATCCAGCAGAAGTGACCAGACCTGGCCTCGCACCTGAAGCGGGATCCCTTTGTACACACGCCGGCACATCTGCAGGGAGGAAAACACGTGCAAGGTTAGCTGGGTCCTGCTGGTGGCAAACACAATTTCTCCATGGTTTGCTGCTGCAGATAATCAGCCATCTGAGCAGACACCCCAGGCAATCGCTTCCTCTCCGTGTGCTGGCACAGAGAGGGCATCTCCGACTTGATGGATGAGCCAAGTACCTGCATCCATCAAAGAGAACTCAGTCAAAATCATAGAACCAGAGAATCATAGAACAGTTTGGTTGAAAGGGACCTTACAGATCATCTAGTTCCAACACCCTTGTCAAGCACAGGGACCATTTTCACTACACTAGAATGCTCATAATCCCATCCAGCATGAACTTTGAACATTTCCAGGGATGGGGCACCCACAGTTTCTCTGGACAACCTGTACCAGTGCCTCACTGCCCTCACAGTAAAGGATTTCTTCCTTACATGTAGTCTAATCATACCCTCTTTCAGTTTAAAACTGTAGCCTCTTGTCCTGTCACTATCTGCCTGTGTAAAAAGTCATTCTCCTTTGTCTTTAAGAGCCCTCTTTAAGTACTGGAAGACCACACTGAGGTCTCCTCAGAGCTTTCTCTGCTTCAGGCTGCTCTCAACTCAACCTGTCTTCATAGGAGAGAGGTTTTTGCTCACTTCATCTCACAGATGCTTCTTCCCCTTTTCTTGTCATAAAGGCCCCATTAAATTTCAATGGAAAACAGAAAAGAAAAAAAGCTTTTTTTCCAATTGCTGACTACATCCATTAAAAGAAAAAGCTTCAGAAGAAATAAAAATATCCTTTTCTGAATACTTTCCTTCCTTTCATTCATCCCACCTGTGAAAAGCCTTGAAGCTGCACTACAAAACCCACAGTAGCACTCCCCCAGATTCCTGAGGAACCTTGGGTACACTGAAGGACCCGTGGCACATGTCCAAGCTCCAGCCATGGAGGGCATTTATGTTGCCTTATGCTCCCTCAGAACCAGGCAATTCCTTGGGAAGGGACAGAGGTGCCAGATTTCCAGTCATGGGAATGAGCTTGTGCTTAGAAGGGCAGTGCCTGACCAGGCAATCAACTGGAGCTACTGTCACTGCCTGGTACAAATGCATCCAACCACCTTCAAAATCCCTCTACTTCTTCCATAGGGTACTCTGCTTCATGCAATTCAGGTTGATGCAAGAGAAGAACTGCAATCCCCAGGGAAGCACAAGATCCTAGTAAAAGTTTTCTGGATGTGGGCCTGCCACATTGTCATTGCCACACCCAGCTGAACACCTGCTTCTCTTGCCTTTCCTTTCAGATCCACCTCACACCACCAGCTCTTTTATTTCCAGCCTGACTTTTTAAGGTCAGCCTCTCACAAGAACGTAAAGACCTTAACCATGGCACTGTGCTGGCTCATGGCCTCCATGAACACAAACCAGTGCTCCCATTTCCTTATTGTCTTCATGGCAGCATTGTGTCATGGCAAGACCCAGGAACGGTGGTCCTTGTCCCAAAGACTAACAAGACCAGGAGGTAAGACAGGAGGTGGGCTTCAAGCAGACATGTTAGGGGATAGCAAAGAACTAACACCACTATCCCAGTCAAAAAAAGTATGTACAATAACTCTGTAGTCTGTAGAACCAGGAGAACCAGATGTTTATGAGAATGCTTTTCCACTCCATTACAATAAATATTTCAGCATTTCAGCTGACAGAGAAAGTGTCTGCAACATATCCCGATCCTGACAGTGTAATGGACAGTCAACATTTAAAACGCCATCCTCAGAACTCCCCAAATGCTTGCTCTGCCCCAAGAGTTGCTTAGCACCAGCTGTGAAGGTCCAATGCATAGTCAGGATGAAATCCTGCAGAAATCCTTTATCAGATCCTGCCCTTCCCTCTGTATGCACCAAATAAAAGCTGCCCCCTAAAAGCAACCTCACCAGCAAGACATGCCCATGGAAAGCCACCATCCTGTTCAACTGCATCCTGCACTTCAAGTGGGACATCACTAATTCACCATCTGCACACCCAAAGGCTCACGTAAGGAGGTGCTTCTAAGGACAGCAAACCTTCACACCATGTGGGACAGATTGATCCCCACAGATTAAAGACCCATTTCCCAAGAGCCATTAAATCAGGATGAAAGAAGTGCAATGCATCAAGAGACACAAAGCAACAGGATTAGATGAACCACATCCTCAAAGTAGTAGGTGCACACAAAAGCCTGGCTCCTGCAAGCACTCATGCCTTTATGAAGCAAAAGCTGAGGCAGAATTAAGAAACTAGAATATGTACCAATTCTGACAAGAACACTAATTCAGAAAAGATTACTTATTTCCAGTGGATTACAGGAGACTGACTGACAGCTGCCAAGGCATATGATGATACTCAGGTCCATGGGAAGGAAATAATTTTGTTTTGAATTTCCAGAGCTGGTATTGTTGTACTTTAGTGAGTGCAACCCTCAGTGGTATATAGTAATGTCTCTAATGATTTTCTTTGCACAAGTGCTAAAGGAACAGGGGGAGGGTACAAAACATGCTGAGATGGAACTGAAATGAAATGCCTTCCTGTTATTTATCCAAGGGCTTTCCTCCTCCCACCACCTCCAGACATGAAAGTGATAAAACCTCAGTGCTGTGAGTCACCCAGAAAAAAAAGAGCAACTTTTCTTCATCATGAAACCTGAAGGAAAACAGGGAAGTTACCATGTAAGTGGTGTTTATGATGGGATGAAAAGACAGAGGTAAGGCAGCACATGATTATAATTCCTGTACCACATGACAGTCAAAAAGAACCCTCAAGGTCACTCTCTTTGTCTCTTTATAAAGTGCTCAGATGGGAAAAGAACACCTAAATCATGTCCCATGCAGGCTGACAGACCAATGCACAGGCAAGAACACCAGTCTGCTTCACAAAGGGAGATGCTGGTGGTCAAAGCAATGGTTCGAGACACTGTAGAAAGCCTGTGTCAACTAAGGACTGAAACCACAGTGTCTAAAACTTGCTCCAGATTTTGCCATAGGATCATCTTCCCTCTCCAGGCTTTAACATACAAAGCTCACGGCACAGAGGCCATCATCACCCCATCCCTATCTCTCCCCTCCCTATGTATTTTCTCTGAAGTAGATGGGATGAGGAAGACTATGGAAGTACAGACTTGAGCTCCATCCTCCTGCACCAGCAATCTCCTCTGAGAAGTACCCAACCAATTGTTCCAGGTTCTTGAATATGAGGGATGGAGTGCCTTTAAAGACAGAACATCTTTTTACAGTAGTAAAGACAGTGAAATTAAAGAGGATTTGGGAGAAGTGGGTTGGTTTTTGAAGCAGAATATACACATTGCAGTTCACCTTCACACTTTGGAGTCTGTCACTGTTAACTTCTCAGCCATGTCCATGGATCACCAGGAAGAGATTGCAGGAGCAATGCCCCAGTTTTGGGTATGCATGGTGATATCCCTTTCAAGCCTTTCCATATATCCAGCATATGTCTCCAACACCCTAAAGTGGGGGCAGTCCTCCTTCCTCAATTCCTTTAGGACTCAAAGAGTGATCCTTCCAAAGAGAAAGGACTTCTTCACATCCTCTACCAGTGATGCACCAGAGGAACTGAGCTGTGCAAATCCTCACCTGCAGTGGAGAATTTCCTTTTAGTACCACAAAATCTGTTGACTGATGATGTGGCCATGCAGGATACTTGGCAGACTGGACATTAGCATGCATGGCTTTCTTTCCATATGGTTAATGATTGATCCCAACTCAGCTGTTATGCCTGCAGCTAGAGCCTATGCAGCTATTCCTGATGGGGTACCAGCAAAGCAGGGGCAAATTTAAATCCTAAAGCTGGTGAGCCATGGGCAGACATTTACAGTTATTGCCCAGGCTTCCTTTGGAGGAGAGGAAAATGCTATCTGCCTTTCCAAAATGAAAAAAAAAAAAAAAAAAAAAAAAGGCAAGCAGGCAAAGCCACCCTGCAACTCCCAGACACAAACCCCTTTCCTTCCCATGGCATTTGAGGCAGGAGATCTGACTTCAGCCAGCCCTGGCACGACAAACGTCTGCTGGCTGTCCCCGGCATTAGCAGACTGTTTGCTCTTGGGGGTTTGTGTCAGTCCATACAGATCCCCGATTCATCCTAAACCGCTTTGCTGGCATGCACTGGATTAAGTGCTCTGCACTCCCGTGACCTTAGCAGAGACAAGGCTTCCCCCCTGCACAAAGGCAGGCTTTGCCTAAAAACAGACATCTATGACCAAAGACATCCCTCACTAAAGGTCCCATCCCACAAGGCTAGCAGCAAGATGCAGCTTGCAAATGATGCAGAGGTCATATCCTCCTCCTATGACTGATGCTTCTGGCTGAAATCCATTTCAGAGCTATGATGAATAAATTATCCCACTGTTGCAGCACACACAGCACAGCCTTTTTTATCAGCAAGACTGTGCTGCCTGAACTGTATAGATTTTTACATGGCACCAGCCATTTCCTAACCTTCCCAAGCAGAGTCAGGCTGGTATTTAAACTTGGGTTCAAATCAGCACTGAAGAGAACATGTGAGCCTCCCTGTGCTGAACCCTGAACAACACAGTTTAGCACTTCTTTGCAGGTTTGACATACCTTAACCCTGTAAAATAATGTCATCCTTTCATGGACTTCTTTATTTTTGTACCCTTTCCCTTGTGGAAATTCAGCCAGAAAAAGGCACCATTGCATCCTTCTAACCCCACCCATATGAGGAATTGTGCTGAGTGCCACTCTTTGCTGATCTTGAAATTAAATCATATTGTTACAAAATGTGTCTAGAACAGAGCTGGAGACAGATCTAAGGCAATGATGAGCACAGGGAGCCCCAGGGCAATACTTTAAGATAATCCTATTTGTTGCTCATCCTGAAACAGGTTATGCCAGAAATTATTTCAGTTCCTAGTCAGGCCATTCTCGGCAAGGAATGTAAAAGGTCCCACTCTTTTTATTCAGTCTTATTTCCAAAAATCTGTGACAGTCACAAGACCCAGACTACCCTGAGCAGCATGTAAGGATGCACAAAGGCTGCAGGTGGGGGAACAAAAAGCCAAACCTGCTACTCTCTGGTGGTGGGTCATGCCAAGGATCTGAAAAAGCTGCTTTCTTGACCACTGACAGGTGGGCTGCTTAGGGGTCAATGGCCTGGATGGATACACAACCTCACCCCTCCTGCTGACATTTCACAGCACAGAAGATGAGACAACAACCTAAGCCTTGATCAGATACTCAGATGCTGCAAAACACAAAGGCTTGCTTGTTAAGTCCCTCTTTATCAAGGACTAGATATGATCAGATGTCTGCCAGCTCTAATACATGAACAGGGACTGAAAAGGTTGGCCCTTAAGTCCAGGAAGTCCTAGTCTGGAAAATAAGATGGGTTTCTACATCATTCAAGCAGTCAAAGTCAGGGCAACTTCCCTGTGATACTGCTTGTGGTTCCTGCAACAAGATTTCTTTCCCCTCTAATAAAGCACAGCATATCAAAATTAACATCAAAGGGAAGGTTCTTGTTTTCAATAAGAGGATTTTTTCAAAGATGACACCTTAGTCATTGTTAAAATAACACAGAATGGCTGTCTTGTGACATTCATGTCAGCCAAGTGGTGAAAACAAACCTGAAGGAAACATGCAATGCCGATGTGGCAGCCTGAGTGCTCAGAAAAGGAACAAAACCAACCCACTCTGCTTTAGAAAAATCAGATCAAGGGCTTGTCACATTTACTTTAGCTAGAACAAAACACACAGCCTCTGACGTGACTGTGATCCCAGAATAAGGTCCTTGAAATGCCACAGTTGAACTGCATCCAGCTGTGGCAGCAGGAATATCTGAGAACTTCCATGCTCCTGACACAAGCGCAAGGGGTTTCACATCTAGGTGTAGGATACAACCTGATTTTACTTTTTTTATTAAAAGAAGGCACACTTCTTTTGTGCCTCTCAGGGTCTTTGCATTTAACAGTGTGCGGCTGCTACAGACTTCACAGCCTGCACTTGCCTTGGTGCCAGGCAATGGGTGTTAGGCTGGACAGGACTGAAACCAAAGCTCCTTTCTACTCTCCAGGGTCACCAGACTGTTCCTTCCCTGCTTGGGGCCAAGCACTGCTTCTCTCTTTGCTGGGAGAGGGGACGGCCATTTCCGGTCTCCCAGCATGGGACAATGCCATCTCTGTGTCCAAGAGTCATCAACCATTTACAGGCTGTTATTCATAACATCCTTTATCCTACTACAAGAGCTTTCTCATTTTCTGACTTAAAGACCCTCAAAACCCACTTGCCAGTCTGACCCTTCACCAGCCAGCAGATCTGAATGGCATCAATTACAGTGTGCTTAACACCCTCGGTAATTATCAAGGGAAATCCAAAACAGAGATATCAGATTGCTACTGCTCCACAGCACTCATGCTGGATCCTGCCTGTCTTCACCATCTGACTCAGGAAAGCCAAGGTGTGCTAAAAGCACTCATCATTACCCACCCCACACACCCTCCAGGACCTGAAAGAATTCCCTGTACCCCACTGAAATTTGGTAGTTTACCCACAAGGTCACTAAACAATTAGTGCTAACTTCTAATTAGAAAGAACCAAGTCACAGGAGAACCTGCAATTTTGCCTCTGGAGCAGCACTGATTAACAAAGTAATTAGAACAACCCTGAAGTGAACAGAAGGATTATAAAACCCCAAGCCCACCTCTACCCATCCCTGCTGCCATTAAGGTGATTATATTTCAGGTTTTTTTTTTTTTTGCGGGTTTTTTTGTGGTTTTTTTTGTGGGTTTTTTTTTAAGAGTGAGACTACAGCTGGTCCTTAGCTGGCTGAACTGGACATGATGACTCCTGACAGCTGGGCAAGGAGGATGCTCTGTTCAATGTTGTCCCTATAGCTATGCAGATATTCTTCAGGTATTTCTTTCTACTTAGCCTTTTTAACCAAGCTCAAATTTTTCCCAAGGACTCTCAGGAGGAGCTAGAAGCAGTCCAGCCAAACACCCCACTCCTCCTGCTAAACACAAAGGCTGCAGAGGCCATAGCAACAAGGTAATGCCAGGCTTCAGCCCTCTCCTGTGCAGAGTGCCACAAGCAGAGCAGTCAGACACAACGTTCCTCTCCTTACCCATCAAGGGTCTTGCCATTAGGTTCAAAGGTTTTTTTTGTTTCAAGAGGTTTGTAAGAGGAACATATAACAGATACTATTTATTAAAAACAATTCCTTTTTGAAGTGGTGTTTGGTGCAGAGTCCATTTTAATACCAAAGCCAAGACATAATGTTGGTGTCTCCATCCTTGATTTCCAGACAGGTGTACACAATGTAATACCTAAGTGGCTTCTCAGAGGCACAGCTAGGAGCAAAATACAAAATCTAAGTATTGTTCTAGAGAAATAATTCTTCCCCCAGAGAGAATTACAAGGAACATCAACTGGGCTGTATCAGTCACAGCTCCCACATCATTTCCAGGAAATGGAAACACAGAAGAGACTGCTGGCATGCACTGCCCTCTGCTCTCACAGGGCAGGGAGCCAGCTGGGCACATGAACATCCCTGCTGTGCTCTTGCTTGCACAGGTACAAGTGCAAAAATGGCAGCAGCATTTAGGAAATCCTTTTAAAGCTGTGTTTAAGTCAGAACAGAACTTTTACCTCGACTGGTAACCCAGAAATTTCTAGGAAAGCTTTTAAATATGAAAGACTAACAAGTACAATCAGGCAATGATCCAGAGATCTGTTTTTCCTATTGACTTTTTGAAAGCCTGACTCATCATAAGGCTCCATTGCACCCACCCTTCCAGACATACACTCTTTTCCTTCTTACCTTTTCACTGTTTCTGTATTTGCCCCACTTCTTCAGCATCTTAAGCCACTTGTCCACACGTTCTATTTCCTGCTGTTTTTGCTGGCACAAGGGAGAAGAAAATACAAATTTAAGAAAAAAAAGCCCCAGGAGATGTCTCTTGAAAACACAACACTTCATTCTCTTAGGTTTAAACTTCTATTTAAAGACCTCACATCAGGGATGGGAATAATCCACAGGTACGTGCAGAAACTGGTAATTTCAGCATTTGGTAATTAAAAGCAGCATTGGTGAAAATGACAAGACACACAGGCTTAACATAGAGAAAGCATTCCCAAGAGTATTCCCTGGCAATAAAAACCTTTGCAGGTCCAGCTAGACTCAAATCCTACCACTGTATCAGATCAGAAGAAATGTGATTCAGTCCCATTTAGCAGGGTCCTACCAGAGGACATGCTCTCATCTCAGGGGAGATGAGGACAGAAGTGATGGTTACCTGTTACCTACAACTTCCACCATCTTCCCTTGCACATGCAGTCCCCTTTAAGAGCCACAGCTGCTGAGCACTGTGTCAAAGCAGAGGGAAAAGCTTGATATTGTTTTAAGAGGTGCTTTTTCAGTGCCATGTGGAGGAGGAAAGTTGTCTAACTCAGCAAAATAAAAGCTCCAACAGCTGGGCATCATGCAGAGTCCCCACATCTGGGAGAGCATCAGTGACCAGTGGGTGCTGGCTGCCTGCTTTGCTCTTACTTGCTCGTTTCCTCAAAACACATCCCCTCCCCAGCTGGTGTGAAAAGGATGCCACATCCATGATGACAGAGCTGGCAGCTCTCACCTTCTCCTCCAAGGCGGTGCGGGTTGGCAGCTCCTGCTCGCTGGAAAAGCAAGGGGTCACTGGTTACTCCATTGGCAAGAAAGGGTGTGGGGGAGCACAGGATGCTGCAGCTCACTGACCACCTCAGACACTTGAGGGGTTATGTCCTGGGGACTTTATGCCCTTCCTACAGCTGTCCCCAGTATGAAAGAGGCAGGGGAAGCACCATCCAAAATCCCACCACCCAACAGGAGGCTCTAGGGGTAAAAGAGCTACTGGATGTAACTGGAAAACCTGGGCATGTATCTCCTCTCCAGTACACACATGATCAGCAATTTACAGGGTGGGGAAGCAGAATTTCTGGACAGCAATTGCTTAAAACCTCCCTCCTGCACACAAAACACCTACTATTGCAACTTATGTTAAGAATCAGAAGAAAAATAATTCTATTTAAACATTCTTCCTGGGCACAGGGTGTGTAATTCATGTGTGCCTTGGTTAGGATGAAGATTTCCTAAGGGAACCAAAGACAACCTTGTCTGGTCTCTTCCCATACCTCCCTGAATCATAATGTGCAAACACAAGGGCCTCTCCCTCTGTGGCACACCATGGAGGCACAGGAGCACCAGCCTGCACCTTCTAATGCCAGGCTTGTGGTAGGAAAGAATTTCTGAGCCTTGTCTTGCAGCAGATTCAAAGCATCAGTGTCTGGACATGCACAGTTGAGGAAGGAGGCCCATTTAGTCTTTCCTCCTGCATTTGGGACTGATCAAGCCAAGCCACAAAGCAGCTTGTGGGAGAGATGCTGAGCCAGTCATACTCAGTGCAGAAGGAAGGTCCACACACACACAGGTCAGAGAGGAAAGGAGAGAGCAGGAGGACTTACTGCAGGAATCCAAACCGGTCTGTAACTTTGTAGAGTGTGAAATCAGCATCTTCCCACTGGTCAATCTGAGCTCCTTCCTGTCTGCCCTGAAAGCAGAAAGGACACCTGTGAGCTGGTCCCAGCATCAGGAATACCTCAGCGCCTGCATCCTGCACCCAAAGCCCATATCCCTCTCTCCTGAATCATAAAAGGCACAGAACCAGGAGAGCAAAACCTGCACTAAAGAGCCAAATTCAAGGCAGAGAAAAATGCCAAGTTCAGCTTATCCAACATTCTATGCTACCTCTGCCAGAGGCTGGGCAAAGCTGTACATCACAAAAAACAGTGCTGTTGGGCATAAGCCATACTGGTATTAAGGGAGCACTGAAGCACCAGAAACTGAGCACCTTTCAGTACCTATGCTGACCACAGGTAGGACCCTCAATAAACTCCAGGGATGTAGTAAGAGGGGATGTATAGGAAGGGAGAGCTGGCATGAAGCCTAATGGCAAGAGGGTTACTGGGCAATGCCTGCAGGGAGGCAAAAGTTCTTATTTGATGCATTCCTAATTGATGAAACAGCTTCAGCCTCAGCCAGCATGCTGGGGAGAGGCACGAGGCTGGTACCTTCTCATATTTGGCGACGATTTCTGCTTTTTCCTGGGCTATTAAAGACTCTATATCCTTCTTCATATCAGAAGCTGTAGGGAAAAAAAAAAGCAGGAGGGAGGGGAAAGGAGATAAGTAAATGTGTACACAGCATGTGAAATATTTTAGGAAAGTGCTAATACAAAAAACGTTTGCTGACAATTTTAGCTTCCAGCCATATCCCACAGCTAAAATTAGGCTGAGGTTGCACAGCTGCTGTACAGAGACTTTGTGGAGCTTGCCTGCAGGCAGCAGGACCGCCAGCTCCCTGCTCCCTGCACTGGGACAGTGCCCAAGCTGAGCAAGGAGGGGGTCTTGCCTTTGTTCTCAGGCACACACATGGCAGTGTGAAAGACATGGCTTTTAAATCAAGACACGCAAACCAGCCACAGAGCGCTGGCCCAGCACAGAACAGGCGCCAGCCAGGCGCTGCTTGGCACAGCATCCACGTGGATGACAGCAAAGCACCATGTTCCTGCCCCACCTATGGATGGGAAGCCAGAAGGGGCATCCAAAACAGATTTAATATTAAAGAAGAAATTGAAAGAAGGTTTTGCCTACTGAAATGTGCATGAGACAAGTGAATTAGCCTCTAGGTCATTACTTTCTGTATACAATTCCAAAAGGAAACCACACAGCAGCAAGATATTCCCACCTATGCTGAGAAGGACCAATCTTGGTCTAAGCAAGACCTAGTCCAGGTCCCTGGCACTGCTCTGCTTCATCCCATACACATACCTATGAGCAGAGTAAGTTCCTACATCAAATGTCACTTGGGTGTTGTCCTGTACAAACCCAAAGAAGCATCCTTCCTGTCAAGCCATAGCTGGTTCCTCATGCACCAAAGGTGGAACACACCAAGGAGAAAATGTAGGCAGACAAAACCCCCAGGGAAGGGGGTTATATAATCAGGGTTCTTTCATGACCCATTATCAGACAGCAGCACAGGCATGGCACCACTTTAGACACATCCATTCAGACACTGGAAAAATGCAAAATCTTTACATTCATGCCAGGAATGGGTGTATCTTCCCCTCTTATTGACTCCACAATCAAAACAGAGTAAGGACAGAAATACTGAAGTGCATTTGCTCCTACTTCAAATGTAAATTTTGATCAGTACATTTAAATCACAGCTTAATTTTCCAGTGCAGCAAGGTCTGAATAACTGTCTCACCATGTCACCTAATACTTCTTCATCTCCTCCTTCTCACATCTCCTGTGAAACTTATAGGCAATTTCACTCCCCCAATTCTGACTTTTTTTTTCTTGTTGTTGTTATGGGGACAAAAAATCCCAATAATGTCTTTTACATGCTGCTAAAAATACAAATATTCTGCAGGCTACAGGGGAAAAATAAACGGTACATCAGATTAAAGGGGCAATTTTTCAAGACACTTATAAAGTGGAAGCTATTCTGGACATCTCTGACCACACTCTAAGACAACAACAAAGGAAGATCAACTTGGTACCATGGGAGGATTTACACAGCAAGAACATATATATTTTGGCATTCACCTCTGCAAAAGCCTCTCTGCAGCCAGAAACACCAGACTTGTGCAAAGGAGCCAGTTTTTAGTCTCATGCCTGGAATATGCATATTTGTTTTCTCTTTCTATAACAGTGCAAAAGTCCAAATTTAGGAAAAAAATTGAAAGCAGGGAACATGGTTGCTGGCAGTGGGAAGGATGGAGATGGCAAGTGGCTTCACCAGCCTTGGGGTGTGACCACAGTGCTGCTGCTTGGGAGAGCACAGAGACGGTGCTGTGCTTAATGAGGTGGTGGTCAAAGTACTCTGGAGAGGGAACAGAACATAGCTTAGCTTGGTAACAGCATATATTGAATAGGGGTATTTTTATTATTCCATTCTGCACATGCTCAAACTCCAGAGTGGTTTTGACATCATGATGTTATATAGCTTTTGCTTGAGGGAAATGATACCTCATGTACTGAAATCTATTTTCTGAAGGATTTGATGAAACACATCATTTTTTTACTTGATGTAAACAGGCTTCCTATAAATAGGAACAGGCTGTACTGTACCTGCCATGCTTCTTCATATACCTATGTATGACTGCATACCTTCTTTTTTTTTAATACAGCACTCAAATTAGTTTCTCAACCCTACCACCCAATTTTCTCCTGAGAGCACTTTATTTTCTTAGCAAAGAGATTTTTTTTTCCACAACAAACACACAAGATGAAGCTGCTATTAACAGTAATAGTAAGAAAGTGTGCACTATGCAACAATGGTATTAGATAATTAACTAAGATATAAGCAACAGAAAGCCCTGAACTATACACATTTAAATTCAACCCCAAAACAAAGTTATGAACTAGCTCCTTTTGAAAATAATGAGTTGAAAATGTCCACAGTCTGTCATCTGACACTAACACTTGCAGCTTCCAGTCAACAATTTAAGGAAGTAAAAATTAATACCAACTACAATCAGCCTAAAAATGTTTAATGAAACTGCACATTACTGCCAACCCGCATTGAACGTTATCTAGCTATCAGCCAACATGAAACAAAATACCCAATTTTTGAATGAAAGCAACTTTCCTTGAATTAATTCACCAGCTGGAATCTCAAATATTGGTAGCAAGAAGAAAGCATCTACATCAAAAATCCAAGACTTCATGTCAAAATTGTTCTCCATAAATCAGATTTACTGTTATACCCTTCCCAAAAGCCCCATATTTTTCCAGTCAGATCTGCCAAACTCCCATTTCCCCACATGGGATAGCACCCACCAGGACCAGCCTGGCTGGGAGAGGGGAACCTCTGTCCACAGCCACCAGCCCAGTTCTGCAGCCCTGCTCACTGCCCAGGAGAACTGAGCATTTCTCATTGCTCAGCAGCAGTGCTCCTTGTGACACAGCCCAGGACACACACACGTGTCCTGTCACCCCCAGCCACACCACCATATCTCACACCTACCAATTCATCAGTAATCACCCTGCTGGTACTTGACAGGTGGGCTTTTGAAAATGAATATATCAGTAAAATCTCTTCTTAGGAAACACAGCATAGCAACATGTTCTCAGTCTCAGCCTGGACCTGAGGATATTCTGGAACCCAGCTTTTAAATCTTTTGTACTGTAGAAAAGTATCTACTCAAGCCCTTTGAGGTTAAGACTACATGTTTGTAGTCAGTTTCTCTTTGGTGGAAGGTCATTGAAAAAGCAGAAATGAGTTTAGGTGAATGTGTTCTCATTCTGACTGTGTCCACTTAACTTTAAATATTAGAGACTGCTGCTAGGAGAAGAAAAAAAGGGCAAGTTTTGACACACTGTACTTCACTAACACTCTGGCCTCTATCAGAGTGAAACTACTGCTGTGGAATAAAGTAAAAAAAGTACATACTACAGTCATACCCACCAGTGCTGAAACACAACAAGTCACCGTTCCTGTTTCATGTCCTATTTTAAAAGCATATTTAAACACAGCATTTTATGTCTTTAGCCATCTATGGTCTCAGCCTGCAATTTTTGCTTTGGGGAGCAGTTTTAAAGGAAAAGCATATACATCTTGCTACTACTCACTTGTAAAGCTACTACTAATTGTAACAGTGACTCACACACTTGCACACCCTGTAATAAACCTGGCCATGCAGAGCAGTGAAAGCAACTAAAGCAAGCTGTGAGAAGTTGAGTAAGTTCCATCAGAGCTTTTTAAGTGCATGGAACAGGCACCTTGACACGCTTCAAACCACACAGGCTAAGGGCTTGAAGCAACCTGCCCATCCTGACTGCTGGTAGAACGTGGGGGGACAGTCAGCAGCTGCAAGCCAAGAGCTGTCATCAGAGGCTCTTTTCCCACATGCTCAAAGCCTTTCAGAAGCAAAGCCACGGCATTACACCATTGCATATACCTACCACGCACTGCCAAAGTGAGCATGGCTTTGGGACTGCTCCACCACAGCCTGAGGAAACCTCAAAGCCCCACAAGGCACTCAGGAGGGGCTGTGGGCTGTTATAGGTGGGCACGGGCATGCCTGGCTGTGTGCCCATGAGTTGACAAGCCAAGGAGGAAGTGATGGCCACGTGCTGCTGACTGCAGGGAGAGCTTTTGCTTCGTGAGAACCAGCCCCATGCAGAAGTCAACCTGCTCCTGAGGCTGTGGTGCAAGACAGGCCAGCATCCCTATCGCCAGTGTTGCAGCTGCTGCAGCATTTTTTTACTAGACCCCTAAATTTTCTACTCCAATGGACAACATATTCAGTGCACTTGCATTGAGGACTTCTGCTGATCCCCATGTGCAGATTCTCTCTCATTAATAAACCCAGACTGCAAACATCCTAGCCAGCACCAGCTTCAAAACACTTCACTGGACTGTGCATCCCTGACCTTAGCTTGAATCCGGCACATGATTACATCCCCGTTAGCAGAAAGGAAATCAAGACCTGCACTCACAAAGTGAATTACGGCTTCAGGAATGAAATTACTATCAAGCAAGATGAACCAAGAAACAGGAGATCCTGTTTGCATATTTATTTCCTTGACTACAACTCAGGAGAACACAAGCAAGCTTTTTTTTTGTTTGTTTTAAAAGCATAAGAAGCACCAAGCCAGCTGAATTGCAGGAAGGTTTGTTTTAACCGTCTTGGGGCCTTTGAAAATAACTGCACATAGATCACTTTAGATGAATCACAGATGTGCTACAGAAAATTCAAATTATCTCCTGTCCTAGTAAACTTGCATTGTATCTGAAACTGCACTGGATGCTGCATTGGATAAAACCACAGTCACCTCCCTCAGCAGAGGTAGTGGGAACACCAAGGAGAACCCTTCATGGCAACTCACTTTGATGCCACCAGCAATACCCCCAACAAGCCAGAGCAAACAGCATCATTGTAGATGAGAACGTGCTGATTTACTAGCATATGTAACCACCATATATGACAGCTCTCACCGTGATTCTCATTTGCTCCAGAGCCAGTTTGTGAGTTTGGACAAGACAAGGTGAAAACAAAACCCAGCTCCAAGAAATGTGCCCTTACCTGAGCCTTGTATCAGGTTCCAAGATTCATCAGTTCAGCTGGAGCTGTCCAATCCCCTGAAGGCATCTACCTGGCAGGAGCCAGTTGTCTCTGCTGCAGGGTGGTGAGGACCCCCAGTTGCCACAGCCCACTGGTCAAAAGCCCTTTGGCTCACCCACACCACCCCAGCTTCACGTGGCTGGTCTCCTCCACCCTCGTCCTCTGGCACGTGAGAGCTCACTGCAGGTGGCTGGGAGAAGAGGCAAGGCAGGAGGCAATCCACACTCTCTTGTCCCCCAGGCTCACTGCAAAGGAAATAAGAAGTTGATCAGTTTTCCAGTTCTGGCACAGCAAAGGCACCATCCTTTACCACAGGGGTCTCTGAACACAGAGGAAAGGCAGGTCCCTTTGGAGCTGGTGGGGAAGGAATAGACTGTAACTGCAGGGCATACAATGGCAGAAAGTAAACTACGCTCATATGCGTTGCAAAAAAAAAACCCTAGTGTGGTTTTTTTTTGCCATTTTCCACCCTGGTTAGGTCCCACAGTTTCCCATGAAGGTCTGAGAGCCCAACCACCTTTATACCAGCAGGCACATTGCACTGGTCACTCAGCAGGCAGAAGATGTCCCCTACCCAAGCCAAAGCTACAGTATTACATTCTACTCCAGCTAATCTAAGATTATGTTGCCCCCAAGAAGGACTGCAATGGAGAGTTCAGGCCATTCCTTCAGGACTTGGGTCAGGTTAAGACCAAGACACATCACTGACTTGCATGGTAGAAGAGCTGTGTCACTTGAGCCACCTTCCAGCACTGGCAGTTCTCCTTGATACATCCAAACAGCTACACAGTCCAAAGGACAGCAGAGCCCAACACAGAGCTATCACTTACAAAAACCAACTTTTTAGTTGTCACCTTCAGCAACTCAGAGAAGCAACACACTAATTCCACAAGTGTGAAATCAAGACAGCATCCCAAAGCATGACACTCTGCTTGAAGTCAGCAGGCACTGGGCAGAGGAAGCATGGCTCACTTGTGTCATGAGCTGCCACTTTAATAACACCACCTCTCTTCCAATCCCCCTCACAAACACCAGCAAATGGACTTTACCACACAATCCCGAGCTGTCCTGTGCTGAATTTCCTTGTTGTCACCTCTCCAGCACCCAGACACAACGGCTTGGAGGCCCTAAAGTGCAGAAGGCTGCACATCCTTTCAGAGGTGTCCACCATTATTATCAAGCAACCCATTACACGGATTACATTTTATATATGTTATCACCTAGTAGGTTATAATGTGTCTTACACACATTAAATGAAGATTACAAAAATTTGCCTCTATTCTCCCAATTTGCACCAAGCTTTTACAGTACAATTGCAAGCTGCGGTGACAACGATGACAACACTTTGCTGCCAGACTACGGCAATATCAAGAAACCCAAATACACTGGCCAAGTCTTTTAGTTATAGAAATAACTAAAAAGCCATGTAAGCCTGCAACTATATGCTATCCACCCCCTCAACATGAGCAGCACTAGCAATAAATAAAACCTCTCTGAACTCTCTTCCCACCATCACTTTTCCTTTGCTCCTAGTACTTACACCTCGCTCTCATTCACACACACATTTGGTGCTGTTCCTTGGCGCTCTTCTTCCCAAGGATGGAGATGGGAGGAGATAAACAGGAGAGCTGATAAAGAGATTTGGTTTCTTCCCTGCTTATGGCTCAGTAAGCCCAGCCTTGGTGCTTCTGCCCAGCGCAGCTGTCGCAAAGTCAGAAGATGCAGCTTTAGACTAAACCCTCTGAACAAAGCAGTGAGTCTATAAGCAATTCTTTGTCAGCTGCTATTTTTAGACCTCACAGGGAATAAAAGAGCATCCAAATATTTTTAAACACCTTTTAAAGTGAGCTCAACTTCTAGAGACAACAATAGCTCAAAAAAATCCAGACAAAGGACTGCACAAAAATCAAAGATGCATGAGTTATTTTTTAAAGCATCATTATTTAAATTATTTTTCATTTGAAAAAGATAAGCAAACTGAAGAATGCAAAGGTCTATGTGCTTCTTTTGGGAATTGAAGAATTGAAGATTAATTTTCTCTCTGCATTCCATCCTTTTTTTTATTCCAGTGTCTATAAAAAGGGAAAAAAAAAAAAAAAGCCAGAGGGGAAAAAAAATTCTCTTTTTTTTTGGGTGATCCACTGACCTGGAAGGGAACTCTATCAACACAAAGCTTAGTAACTGGCTTCTTCTGTTTACTTAAGACTGGAAAAAGCAGTTTGCATTTCTTTAACCATAAACTAAAGGAAGCTAAGATGATGAGCATTCTCCACTTGGACATGCATTCCTCCTAAAGCACTATATTTTATTCTTTATGGTACATGTAGGAACACTACAAGACACGCTACTCTTCCCTTGTCATTCTTGCCTCCAGCTATACTTGGCAATTTTGGGTAAGCTAAAGGCTCCTTTTGCTATTTAAAACTCTCCCTGGTTCTGCCTTGGCGAGGCACAGTCAGCTAGAGGCCACCTACCCCCAACATGTGCCCGAAGCAGCAGGGTGAGGACACGTGTCCTGGCTGATACCCAAGATGTCACCCTGGGCACTGTGGAGCTAGTGATGTTCCCTAGCCAAAACCAAAGGAACAAGGATGCAAACATAACTTGCTATGCTGCCAGCACCCTGTGCTCTCTTTGGCACAGACATGCATCATCTTTTTAGAAACACATACAAGGAAATAACAAATGTACCATTATATAAAATTGCTGGTACAGCCAATGAAATAAAAGAGTAGGAAGTTAAAACTCCACTAACAAGATGCAGTTTGTGAAAAACTTGTCCAAAATAATTATTGAGGCAAATTATTTGTATGCTGCAGATATATAAGTTGAGTTGAAGTGAGACCTGTGCTGTGTGTCTTACACTGCTTTCCAGAGCCTCTGGCTTCACCTCTTTTTCAGGAGAGAGGGATCTTCAGCCATTAGCCTGACCCCAAGTAATGCCCAGCCCCTAGGAACCACCCTCATTCCTTCAATCACTTTAATGAGTTTAATCAGCTCATACTGCCTCCAAATACAAAACCTTTGCAGGAAATTATTTGTCTTTGGCAGCCTCTGTAGAGGACACTCCCTGACCATTTTACTGGCAGTATCCTGGACTTGCATTACCTTCAAACAGCATCTCCAGATGCTAATGCATGAGCTTTTGTTAACTCGTTTTCTCCTATCAAAGCCCCATGCAAGCAAATCCAGTAATAGAAAACTTGAGGGAAACAAGAAGTATTTGATCCAACACTGGAAAGTACTGAGAAAACATCTCCCAAAGCTTTTTTTAACAGCCTTGGAACTATATGCAGGATAGCATTAGGACACATAATTTAAGATGTACTAAAGGAATCTTTTTAATTGCAACATAACTATTTCTTTTTGCTTGTTGTTAACTCCTAAAATCACACCAGCTTAAGAAATGCAGATTTCTTTTTTTTTTTTTTTTTTTTGGTGCATGTGTATGCAAACACAACATTTTATTAAAATCACAGAATTATAAAATGGTGGGGGTTGGAAGGGACCCTGCAGATCATTTCATTCCCAACCCCCATGCTATGGACAGGGTGCCATTCACTAGAGCAGGTTGCTTAGGGTCCCATCTGGCCTGGCCTTGAACACTTCCAGGGATAGGGAATCCACAAACTTTCTGGGCAACCTGTTCCAGTGCCTCACCATCCCCTGAGTAAAGAATTTCTTCCTAATATTTAATCTCTCTCTGTTTGAAATCATTCACCCTTGTCCTATCTATACACGCCTGTGTAAAAAGTCACTCTCCCTCTTTTTTTCTATGCCCTCTTTCAGTATTAGAAGGTCCCCTAAGGTTTCCCTGAAACCTTCTCTTTTCTGGGCTAAGAACTCCAGTTGTCTCTACCTGTTCTCATAGGAAAGGTACTCCAGCCCTCAGGTCATCTCTGCAGCCTCTCTCTGTACCTACTCTAACAGGTCCATGACTTTTTCATGCTGATGACTCCATTGCTGGACACAGCACTCCAGGTGGGGTCTCACCAGGACAGAGTAGAGCAGAACCCCCTCCCTCATCCTGCTTTGGATGCAGCCCAGGATGCTTTGGCTTTCTGGTCTATGAGCATACACTGTTGGCTCATGAAGAGCCAGTTCCAAGACAGAACCTTGAGGGACACCACTTGTCACTGGCCTCCACCACTTGACCTGGACATAGAGGCACTGACCACAACTCTCTGACTACCTCCAGCCAGCCAATTTCTTTTGTACCCAGCAGTCCACCCTTCAAATCCACATCACTCCACTTTAGAGATAAGGGTGTCATGTGAGATCAAGTCAAAGGCCTTGCAGAACTCTAAAGAGATGACACCGATTGGTCTTCTTCCCTCGTTGAGTGTTACAGTCACGCCACCAGAGAATGCCACCAGGTTGGTCAGGCACAATGTGCCCATAGTGAAACTGTGCTGGCTGTGTCAGATAATCTCCTCATCTTTTGCACGTGCCTTAGCATTGTCCCCATAAGGATCTGTTCCATGATCTTCCTAGCCACAGAGGTGAGACTCACTCATCTGTAGTTACCAGGGTCCTCCTTTCTACCCTTCTTAAAAACAGATGTGATGCTTCCCTTTCTTCCAGTAATCGGGGACTTCATCTGACCACTGTGAATTTCCAAAAATGATAAAAAATTACTTGCCAACCACATCACCCAGTTCCCTCAGAATCCTGGAATGCATCCCATCAGGCCCCATAGACTTGTGCTTATTCAGTTTCACCAGATGGTCTTGAATGTGACTCTTTGCTTACATTGGGAAGAACTTCATTCCCCCAGTTCCCACCTTAGAGATGTGGAAAGCCTGACTACTAATGAAGAATGACGCAAAGAAATTGCTAAGTACACAAGCCTGATCCAGATCTGTTATTATCAGTTTTCCCTCCTCATAGTTGCTGTCTTCCCTTTTGAGGGAATTGTCCCCACAAGAAGTCCTCTCCTCTTCTATTAGTGGAAACATGTTTATAAAATCCAACCATAGGTAAAGACTTCATGCAGAGGTAATACTTTAGCTTATGAAACAGCAATGGCTTTGTAAAAAGCAGCTTTCCAGATTAGGAGTTAATATGAAAATAACTCAAGGATCCTTGTGATTTTGAACAGTGCTGAAATCAACATCTGTCCCATTTGGTCAGGGCTTCAAAACACATCTCACAATTTACTGTGTATTTGGCTGTTAGTATTTTACTGTGGTTATTTCAGCCCGCCACAGAGGCTGAAAAACAGACACTGCTTTCCAGACAAAAA